AACAATGAACACAATGGCATATATTCCAGCTCTGAAATAGCATACAAAATGACTCCGAAATGATGCAACAACTCACACGAAGCATGTTAGATGGCTTATGCATTGAAACTAGTGAAGTGTGTTATACTATAGGTATGCAAAGCAAGCATCATTCGACCATGGGGCCTCAAAACCAGAGCTAAGGCAGCCCAAATAATTAACAAAATCAGTTTAAAACATGGCCAAAATATGCTAGCATCAAGGGTCAAAACAACTTGCAATGTGAGCTAGTAAGCATGGTTTACACTACAAACATGTGAGGCAAATGAAGGACCACCAAACCAGCCAAAAACAGTTTCAAGGCATGCCAAAATAAGCCCAAAAAGCCACTGAAACATAGTCAACACATGCTAGAATGAGGTGTTCCTTTAATAAGCCAAAAAGGGAATTCCTCTACACATGCAAGAGGCAAACAAAAATGGACCAAACCAGCTATGGAAAGAGTCTATGCAAGTCCCAAAAGTCACCTAAAAGGGCTTGAACCAAGCCTCCAAATGATTTAAACATAAGCCCCTTTGTAAGGCCAAAATGCCAACAAATGAGACAACAAGGGAGAGGGTCACCCCTCTCTAATTTAGGCCCCCAAAACAGCAAGCCTACCACTGAAAATCCACTGGATTTCAGTGGCTAGGAGGCCAAGCAAAGACTAATACAAAGGCTTCAAGGTATGGCACAAAACAAGGCCGAAACAAGAGAGGGTAGACGACCCCCAACAGTAAAATGATCTTAAACAAACACCAAAAGGGCCTTAAAACAAGACTTTTTTCAGTTTATGACAAAGCTCAAATATGCTTGCAAGTATGGCTAAGATATGGATCAAAATAAAGCCTTAAAAAGGAGATGAAGCATACAAGGGGGTAAATGACCTCTAACAGAAAAATATCCTTAAACAAACTTCAAGAGGAGCTCAAAATAAGACCTTTTACAATTTATGACAAAGCTCGAAAATGCTTGCAAGTATGGCTAAGCTATGAAGCAAGATAAGCCTTAAAAAGGGAGATGAGTGTGTTACCCTTGTAGCCAAGAACTCCAGCAGCCTTTGGTCCCAAAAACCAGTCCCTTAGCCTCTGAAAACAAGCTCCAAGATGCTTGGATGGATGATGGAGAGGTTAGGTTATGAGGTGTAGGGTAATGGAGCCAAGAACCTTACACTTTGAAGCTAAAATGGAGGAGATATAGAGAGACAAAGAGGGATATATGTGTATATGCCCTAACCAAGTTCTGAACCTGGTATAAGGAGAGGGGAGCCTTCCTTTATAGAGTCAAGGGACTAAAGCTTCTCTTAGAAGCTTCAAACCAAGAGCAAAGATCCTCCATACACGTGTATGGAGGATCCAGTCTGTGCCCTCCAGCTGGCACAGCTGGCATCCATTCAATCTGTAGAATACACCGGAAGG